AATACTACGTACTTACTCTAGTTCGCACCATTTTAATGCATATGCAAGTGATTGAATTATGAAGAAGCGTATTTGCGACAATAAATATCTTTTGCTGCTGTGTTGTATTGATGTTAATGTTAATTAGTTCAATAGTCGATTTTAGAAATTGAAAAAATTTATTTACATTTTACTAAGTTATATTAAACAATCAATAAAACGGAGAATAGCACTACTATGAGAAATAATACTTAAGAGGTAGTTCGGCTTTGAAGAGTATAAAAATAGGAAATTTCATAGTAATAAACGGCGGAACTTAATATAGTTTTTCTATAATGCAGGAATGAGGTTTTCTTACATATAAAAGTGTTTTTTTTTTTTTACTAAGTAAACTTTTCTTGAGTTTCTAAGGAAAATTGTAGAGACAATTATTCTCGTTCTAATGGTGGTAAAATAATCGCAAACGGTCCAGTAGAATCCGAGATATTGGTTTATTTTTTACTATACAATTTTACTATTACAAAAAAGTTTGGCATTCCATCTCTATATGAAAGTATTAGTATTACTCTGCCGATTTTTACTATGAAATTTATACTCTTTAACTGCGGACTACCCCTTAAATATTTCCCACGGATTTTATTCTCCGGTTCCTAAAGACCCAACAATCCGGGGAAACATTTCATTTATTCCCTCATAGTTGGAATTAAAGTATTTATTGGTCGAAGACTAATTAAAAGGCTAATTTTATTTTTAATTTTTTTTCACAAAGTCGGTTTGCAATTACTGCGGTTCCGATTAGAATTTTATAAATTAAATCAGGTGAGTAAGGTCACTATATAGTTGCAGAAAATAAAATACAGTAAAAATAAATAAGCTACTGTACCTACATCTTCTATTTATATAAAAAATACAGTATTTAATGTTCTTATCTGTTATCGTTACGTATTAAAAATGTTTTAATGCAGTTGGGCTTAAAAAAAAAAAGTTATAATTAATTTCTTATCGTTATGTAATAAAGTTATCGTGGCTTCTCGTGTAACAGCTATTTCAAATAAATCTATATTAATATGGGATATATTTTAAATTCAGATTTTAATGAAACCTAAAAATCACGTGGAGACAGGTTCCTGTTATGTATATTTAACTACTTTTGCCTAACTCGGCGTTTTCTATCATTGCGGCGAACTGAAATAAAACAACCTTCACAACACATACAATATTCTATTTACCCTTCGAAACCACAAACAATGGCTCAAAGCAAGAGCGCCGCCTATGATTATCTTATAAAGCTTTTGTTAATTGGTGACTCAGGTTAGTGAGCCGAACGCTTATCGAATGAGCCGTACTATATGTGGTAGATAAACAACCGAACTACCGCCTATTCTTCCATCTCTCGTGAATGCAACTCTATTGGGCTTTATGCTTTTTAGTTTATGCTATCATTATTCTGTTTCTTATCGCACGCTAAAGATTCATTTGTTGCTTTTTATAGGTGTTGGTAAAAGTTGTTTGTTGCTTCGCTTTTCCGATGACTCGTTTACTCCTTCTTTTATCACTACTATTGGAATCGACTTTAAAATCCGAACGATCGAATTAGACGGTAAACGAATCAAGCTCCAGATTTGGGATACTGCAGGTCAAGAACGTTTCCGTACTATTACGACCGGTAAACTTTTTGCATTTTCGGTTCATTGATTCTTTTACATTTGATATGTTATTTATGCTAATATTTATATTTGTATGTCTTCAAAGCTTATTACCGTGGCGCTATGGGCATACTTTTGGTGTATGATGTTACCGACGAACGGTCTTTTAATAGTATCCTTTTTTGTTTTTTTTACGGGTTAAAAAGATAATTTTTAACATTAATAATAGGATTACATCGTTTAAATTTATTTTATTTTATTATTCTTAACCATTAAACAGACATAAGAAATTGGTTTTCTAACATAGAACAACATGCTAATGAAGGTGTTAATAAAATTCTTATTGGGAATAAATGTGACTGGG